ACATTTGAATTTAAAGATATTACAGATAGGGTTTGTCTCTCGATATCTAGCACAGTGGGTTGGACTTTGGTCTTAATGAAAGCCTATTCCACAGCAAGACTGCACCATAATGCATGCTCTTTCAAACCATCAGAGGAAGAGGGTTCAGTGCAATACTTCAAACCTTAAGAAACTCACATTCAGCTCCTTGTTATACAGTATGCTTTCTCTGTAACTCTGGGCTCCTAATGTAGACTTAAGTGTAGTTATTTTTTTTTTTTTTTAAAGATCTAGATCTTAGTTTCCAGTCTGTACAGATAGCAACAGCCATATTCCTGTACCACATACATAAAGGTGTGTGAGGTACTAACAATGTGAAGCTCCTACTGTAATCAGGGACTGATTAGTATCTAGGATAGATGTAGCCGGACTCAGTAGATCTCTCTATCACATGGTCAGAAGCAGCATCTGCTTCTCAGAAACAGGCACGTTCCCTTGTTCCATGCCAGCACGCAGAGGAGGGAGACTGCGCTGCCTCGGATTTCAGCCCGGTCTCTGCGGGAGCAGCATGCGGTTCCCGTTGTTAGCACAGCCTGGATTAGCTTCCACTAATCTGCTCATCCTAGGAAGCCTCAGAGGAGCCTCGAGAACTACAGAAGATGCAGAAAATCAATTTCATTGGCAAGCAAGAGCCCTAGGAATCTAATGTACATGTTGTAATCCTGTCCTACACAGAGCTGGGAAGAGATACCTGCGCACCATACCCAAACACAAACTGGGATTTATAGCTAGGGGAAGAAGTGAAAAAAACATCTAATTGCTACAGATCTGGGACCTTTAAAGGCTACCTCTGGGAATGTCCAGCCCTGAGAGCTGAACCCTACTGAAAAATATTGAGTTCATGCGAAAAAAAATGCTAAAAAATTTTAAAAGAGATTCCTTTAATTTTCCCTCAACACAGCTGGGATTTTAAGGCTCTGTGGCTGTAATTATTGCAGACTTGATACACCTCATTGTAGCAGTGTAGGAAAATATCACATAGTGACAGGGAAAAATAGAGCTGACTTTTCTTCCTTTTAAATCTCAATTAAAAAATACATTGGATGAAATTTCCCATTAGCTGGTACTATTTGTACATCCCATGTTCTTTCTTTAATTAAAAAACATGCTTATTGCAATACTGCCAGAATCGCTTTTACGGTATTTTAATTGTAATGTCTCTGCCTGATTAAAAAAAGAAAATATGAACAGAAAACTGCCTGAAAAAAGTAACACAATGCACGTCCCAAATGGATTGAGCAAAATGGCATAGCAAACACCGCAGTACAAAGTGTTTCTAGCTCTGGCTACTGACAAGGGTTTCTGAAACGAGTGTAAGGACTGGCTGACACGAGAGACAGGAAAGCAGAGGAAAAAGCGTCTTCCTTCTTCCAGCCAATTCAAGCCCAGTTGTTATCGGCAGTGATCGAAATGCTAGTAATTTGATAAGCACTTATGCAGGTGTATCAGCTAATATTCAGTGCTATTTGCTAATAGAATCAAAGCCTAGGAAAAGTCAAATAAAATTGATATGTAAGTTTATCTCCTCCCTATCTCCCCTGTTCTAGCCATATCCTCGTGTGAGTATCTGAGTGTGGATTCTGGGGGATTCAAAATACTCAGAGATAAGCATCGCTCTTGGGACAGAGTTTGAAGATCTGACACTGTCATGGATGTCTTTGGGATCTGCTAGTTGTCTAATCTTTCTAGGGGATCTGGTAGTTTGAAAAAAGCCTAGATTACCTGTGGTGCCATGGAGGCTGGGTTAGTTTAAGTATGTATCACAAGTTTTCAGAGGCAGAGACCACAGAAGATATGGGTTAGACATTTCGCAAAGCCTCAGCCTGGAGTCTGACCATGGAATTAGCTTTGCTGGTCCCAGCAGGGCGGATAAGATGCAGCGAGGGCTACCAGTCATGGGGGATAAACAGATCTGTGAGAAGTGACATTATGGCTTTTCCAGAGAAGGGCCTAAGCAATCTTCTCCCTTATGCCTGCAAGAACGGTCGCCTCAAGGTTGCCATTGCAAAGGCAGTTAGATGGTTGAAGACCTGGGACCTTCAGCTCCAGCAGTATCACCCCAAAAGTGAGCCCTGACACTTTCCAGTAAGGAGAACAAGTGGCTTTTTCAGTCTGTGTAAAGCAAATTTCTCTGTCCTGAGTTATCATAAATATTTCCATACTCGAGATGCTGGAATCACAAAAATAAGTTGCAGTCTGCTGAATTAGCAGGGACATGTGCAATCTACCTGTCTTGTATCTCTTCCTTCATCTGTACCTTCTGAGCATTTTCTCAGCCTGGCTATTAAACTTTCCCCTGCCAATAGCCAAGCGCTCACATTCCACTCATCACGGAGGAAGCGGAAGCTCCTGAACCTTCGTCACAGCAGGCAGAGGCAGTCTGTATGACCCAGATGCCTAATCCTATTTCACTATTGCTCTTGGCCTCCAGATCTTCCGTCCAGATAGGCTGGTCACTACCAGAGCCTGCAACTTCCCACTTGACACACAGCCAGAGCAGGGCCACCTTAATGATGTAGATGTAGGTGACATCCTTGTTATAAAAACCTTAAAACAATTTCTGCAATGTTAAAGTTATCAAGAGGACAGGAGCACCCCTCAGAGCTAGTGTTCAGAATCCTCACGGTCTCTTAAGAACAGGGAATTTTGAGAAATTAGCCCATAAAAGCATGCTGGGTTTGCTGGATAAAGCACCAGGAAAAGGACAATTGGGTATAACAGTGCCTTGGCAGACAAGCAGATTCAGTGGCCTCACAGGTTTTTTTCCATCTGTAATGTTTGTTATATCTTAAGCTTGTGAGTGCGCAGACAGTCCGCTCCTGAACCATTAAAGACAAAGAGAGCAGAGCTACAGTCTAATCCGATTCTCTGGGCCCCAACTAAGAAAAACACTTCATCTTATTCTTCAGTCGAAGCATGTAGCTACACCCGCCTGCAGGTTAGGGTTTATCATCATGCCCATCTTGCAGCTGGGGAAACCTGGCAATTACTTGATGCGTTCACAGACTCAGTAGTTGCTATTCTAAGGGGATCACCTAACTGTGATTCATCTTAAGATTGGTATCTATAATACCTCAGATGAACAGGTCTTTGGTGGTGTGTGTTTCACTCTATCCGTACAGGAGCGTAAACATCTCCTCTGGGCTAGATAACTTAAAGAAAGGTAGGGCTAGAGAAGATGAATCCCACCCACTCTCAAAACAGAGTAGATCTCAGCATGTCTTACCTTCAAATCACGCCAAGGCAAAACAACTAGCAGCACTCGTGTTAGTGGGGGTGGATGCAACAAGAAAACTCCAGGAAAAAATCAACTCAGAAAAATAATTACCCTGTAGGTTTCTGCTCCTAAAATGGAACCACCTATATTTGGTATGTAGCTATGCTGAAAATAATAGCATGTAGGATATTTTAATGCTGCTTTAATAACTGAATCTACACTATAAAACAAGCTTCTTGGAAAATGTGATAAAAAGGAGAAATGATTTGAATGCAAGATGAGCTAAAGTCATAAAGATACCGCTCCAGACCTCATTAAATTCAACAAGACCTCCATTCACTTTATAAGTCTTCGCTCACAGATCAGATATGCGTTTGAGTTGGCCCAAAGGGCTTCTGCTACAATGGTGTGCCCTACTTCTTCACAAAGACAGAGGCTGAGCCCTAAAATCCTCATCCAGACTGGCAACCAAAAGTCTCAGAGGTCTGGAGCTCTCACCTGTCTCCTCTACTATATGCGATAATCACACTGGGGTTTAGAAGAATCTTGCATCATCTAGATTTAGGATTTTCAACTAGGGGAGAGTGGGAAGAAAATCAGACTAAAATGTTTCAAATTTTTAATCTGAAATTCTTATTTGATTTTTTAAGTGAGAAAATTGCCCAGTGTAGCAGTTCTGAAAAGCTCTGAGCCTAGTTTGACCAAATGCAAAGGTAGAAATATTTGCACAATAAGGATAAACTATCAAAGTTTTATCTTTACAGACTGATCATTCATAGCTATATCAATATATAGCTATATAGCTATATATAGCTATATAAAATACATAGCTATATAAAATATATAGCTATATCAAAATATGATTGTCAAATACATGCTACAGGTAATGTCTCTCAATGAAAACCTGTTACCTTTCATGTTATTTTAATGTAAAATCACTTTTGCCAGTAAGGTAAGTCTAAGTCCTTAAACCACTACAAAATTGTCTTTTAACTTTTTAAGCTCCAATCCAGCAGAAACTTACACAGAGGCTTAACTTCAAGCAGAACAACTCATGCACTTGACATGGAGCACCTGTACAACAGTTTGCAAAATCAGGGCCTAATTTCCAGTGAAGACTAATTTCCAGGCACCGAGTAGCAAGTTATTCTAAATTTTACTTTAACACCCACAGAGTTACTGTTACTTTCTGACTCTGACGCTGAGTCTACCCCAGGGTACGTGAACCCTGAAAACCCATGTTGTCCACATAGCTGTGCTCGTTTATTTACTCTCTACCAGTCCTGCTCTAGGATCTTGGATTATTTATTACATGCTATAGCTGTGGCCTGTAATTCTGCAACATCGTTAATTTTGTAAAGGCTTTTGCAATACGCTTGCCTCAAAGATGCCAAAGAAAACAGTGTTGATTATTGTTATCAGCACTGCCATTATCGCTGAATACCACTCAGGACAGCAGTGCTTTCAGTAGCTGGGGAAAAAATAAAATGATAATAATAATAATAAAAAAGCCTTCCTGCTCATATTTTCATTATGCCTCAAACAGCAAAAACGATGCCATTCGCATACATAATAATTAAATGTTTCCCCCTTCCCCCATCACCATCCTGACGTATCTAAAGCAGGCAGACTCAGCCTGGCCAGGTGTTTCCTTCACTGCAGGAGCTGGGGGAAGGGGAGACCATGGCAGTGACAAACTCCAGGCCTGGGAAGAATAAGAGCCCTGAAAACCCCTTCTCCAGACCTTTGAGATGTAGCAGGTTGAGGTTGTTGGTGGTGGTCCCCAGCAGCAGTGTCCGGCCTCCTTCTATCGTGACGTTATCGCCATCTCGCGGCTGGTGGCCAGCAGGCCAGCTCCAGTCCTCGGCCCACCGGCCGCAAAACTGAAGGGGAAGCTGGAAAAAAAGACCCAGAGAGGATTAAAATTCATCCCTTCCCACCCTTCAGGAAGGGAGCTTGCAGAAAAGCTGCAGCAAAGGAGACGCTGCACAATGCCGGCTACTTTCCTGGCAGGACCCGGCACAGAGCAAAGAAGTGGTGGGTGTTTGAGGTAGTGAGGTTCTTGCCTTTGGAAATGCCTCTTACAATTTGGGGATTGCGCCATATGGTGTTGTTCTCGGGTAAATAAGGGGCTTGTTGTGGGTCTCTCTCTGCCTCCCGAAAAGCAGAACTGCACATAAAGTCCTGATAAAGTCATAAAAACAGCCTGAAGTGTTTTGAATTAAAATATTCTGCTTAGAAGGGCAATATTTTCTTTTACAGACTTTTTCAAAAGTTTTCCTGCCACTCATTCCCATTTATAGACATTCTTCCTTTCAAATACCTTTTCTCCTCTGTCAGTTTATCCAGTATTATTAGCACCTCTCTTTTAAAAGCTCGCACATCAGTTCCAAATGAAGCATAGCGCTGATTGACTTCAAAACAGCAGACAAATAGCCTGGCTCATGACAAGCAATGGTGAAACAACAGTTGCCTGTCACCAGTGATGGTTCCTCCTCACCTCTGAATTTTCAGCACCCATTTTGCAGTGAAGGTTTGACTGATTTCTTGAGGAATGTGTGTGTATTTGTGTGAGAAGATGGGTACACCAGAGTGGACATATATATTCATAAAATATTCCTGTGGAATCACATACGAACTAGCAAGAACAGCCTCAGCTGATCTAGGAGGAAAACCAGACATGGAAATTTTTGTGGTCCTCACTGGGTTTGCTAATCCAAAACAGCAGTGGAAAGAATAACCTCCATACAAAAGAAAAGTATAGTTAATTCATTTTCAATCACAGCACATCATGTTCATTACAGCTTTTACTTGGGAGCTGTACTTAAGGTGAATCAACATTGGTGGTGTTGCAATAGTTATTTTTTTTCAGCTGTGCTATTGTCTTGCCTTGGAGAACTGCAACTTGAAAAACAAGAGCTCTGATAAATATCACATGGTGGCTACTGTCTTAATTATTTGCATCAGGGAATAAATGTTGGTCCCCAGACTAAAAGATACAACTGGCTTCTATCTGTCCTGTCTGCAAGGTGTGGATCCTGGTATTTTCTCTCCTCCATTCAGTGACTTCCTTGCGAAGGGAATTACTTAGTTCAATCTAGAATGAAGCCTGGGACTGAATTAACACGCATGCAGGGAGAACATCTGGGGAGCTACGTCCCTGACGTCAGAGGGAGTCAGATAAGCCTTCACATCTGTACACAACTGTTACAGAGAGGACAAGAAACAGCTTGTTTTTTTCCACGGCTGCTAAGTATAATAGGACAAGTACCATCTTCTAAAAAAAAAAAAGGAAAAAAAAAGCAATTTAGGACAAACTTACTAGCTGAGAGGATAGATATCTTGGAAAAATGTCTTTCTAGAGAGGCTGTGAATTATCCTTCACTGGTAGTGCACTGAAACAGGTTATATACAATATACACAGTCTATAAGCAATAGATCCACTGAAAAAGATCAAGACAAACTTTTTTTTTTGTCAGAGCAGGGGATAGAAGAGGGCACAGTTAATGTCAAGGCACATATTTCTCCAATATACTGCTTAGTAAGCCACTCATAGCACGAAATTGCAAATTCCCTAAGTTCCTGCCTGGCACAACTTTAGTCAGTCTCTGTAACGCTGCTAGGACAACACTGGATGATGCAGTTGTTGTGAAATGGTCGAGTTCATCAGAACATTTCTCTAAGGTTTTTTTAACTGGCTTCATCTAAGGCCCAATGAAGTCACTAGGAGTCCCCCAATTAACTCTAATGGGAAAATAAGGATATAAGGAATATTCTAGGCTGTTCTTCTTGTTAGCACGAAAAACTTAGAAACGGTTGGGTAGAAGTTTTACAAAATTAAGTCTTAAAAAAAATGAGAAAAATAAACCCCTCTTCTGACTTTGACTTTTATTAAGACAGATCCCAGTTCTAACTAGAAAACACCCAAGCTCTTTGTTTAAGGTCCTCTCTGTAGAACACTTCTATTTAAGTTATTTTTACCAGGCCTCTGTTGTCGCCCCTTAGAAGATGGTACACCCCCCCCCTCAGTTCTGCCAGTTACAGAGAGCAATACCATCTGGCATAAAACCAACAGCTTGTATGAGCAAATGATCTCAAGGCACTAGAGAATGGTTGAAACCCTCTGCGAAACTAAGAACTATCAACTACCTTAAAACTGTAACTCAGAAAAGATATAAATATGCTGGAACCAAATGCTCCATTATTTAGATGACACATATGTTCACAGTAGGAGGCAGTCCCTACATCATCAACCTAAACAAAGATAGAGAAACTAAATTTTACTACTCAAAAAAAAAATTAATGTCCAAGAATGATTACATAGAGGGATAAAATGATTTTGCCAAGATCATGAGAGCTCTCTGTGGTGGCACCCAATCTATAACCAAAGGATTACTTTTGCCTTCAGGGAACATGGTGCTTTTTACCTTACTTTTTGTTCCCTAGGCTGATTCCAGTGATTCCAGAGGACCTACCTCAAGCCTACAAGTCATAAAGAAGAAAATAAATGTTCACATCAGCTGGATGTTTAGCCCAGGGAATAAAAAGGGACGTTTGCCGTGAGAAGATGCCTGGTTTAGTCTGCTGCCACCTGCACCACCTGAGTGTGCATCTTTCAAATGATTTCTAATTTTTTTTTCTTTTAAGCAAAGAAATGAACATCAAATAATAGCACAGGACAAAGTGCAATTTATAATCACTTGTGCCATCCTTGTGTCATCATGGCAAGAATAGGTCTAAAGAATGTATTCGCCTGAAAGGAGAAAAGGAGGTTTGTTCAAGGAATGCACTGCAGGTTGCCACAGTATGGAAGAAAGTATAGGGGAACTAGAGGGAAAGTTGTTCCTTAGTAATTGAAGAAAGATATCTCACTGACGGAGGGAAATATATAAACTGAGATAGCACAAGGTTTCATCTGACAACCTTCTTTTCCAGGCCTATGCCCTTTCCTCAGTGGCATGCCCAGACCAGTACTCCTGAGTAGACAGACTCCTTGCAAGCCTAGGAAGTCAGAAAAGATTCAGGAGAAGACAGCAGACCATTAGAGGGAAGAGCACCTCCATAGGATCGTTAACCAAAAAAAGAAGTATAGTATAGTGCAAGGCTAGTGCAAAGACCAACTGCCCTACACCACAAGTACAGTTTGCCTGGACCTTGTGAATCCTGTATGAGTTCCCTCTGCCTCTTTTCTTGAGGAACAGTACAGTGCTACCTCCAATTATAACGGACTCGTTAAGTCCTTGGCTGAGCGGTGGTGAAGCTGATGTTCAATTCCTGCTCAGCAGCCCATGGTAAAATGACGTAGACTAACACACACAAACTAACAGCACATCCCACATCTGCCAGGGTGGCTGACACTCACAGCTCTAGAAATCCCAGCTCTCTCCTGGCCCTGCTAATCTCCTGCCATGTGATCTTGGGAAACCTCCTCGGTTATCATGTCTTATCTTCTTTAGCTGCTCTGCAGCCAGCTTGGGGCAGGCCATAACCCACATTGCTTGACCCTGCAGACATGAATACTGCTGCCTCTACACCCTAAGGGTGGCATGGGGACTTCTCTGGTCCATGCAGGCTGAGGACGTTCTCACAGCCGCTGGGACAGACTGACTCCCTTGGGACCCCTCCAAAAAAAACAGTGAGGCAGGCCACCTTCTCCCTCAAAGGGTTACGTGGCCATGTTGCAAATATCTTCATCAAGCAGAGTCCCCAGACCCTTTCCTTCTGCCCACAGCCAACTGGGACAAGAACATTCCCCTCCCCACAGGGGATTATTCACAGAATCAAGACTTTTTCCCTTTTCTATTTTTTTCCCCACTTGGCATCCAGCATTTGCCCTATGGTGTTATTTAAACACTTCTTAGCAACACCGAGGAGCAGCAGCAGCTGCAAGCACCGGGGTCATGGCTGAGCGCCTTTCCCGTGCTTGCTTGTTGAATGAACCGCGAGGAACCCGCAGAGCCGGGGAAAGCCATGTGTCTGGGGCTGGCAGAGGCTGGAAGTTTTCCTTCTGTGCTTTTATCAGCTTTAGCACAGGACTGCTCCCCTAGGAGCGGGGGCACAGCAAATGGCAGGGAGCTTGAAAATCAGGACGGAGGAAATAGGAACTGGCGTAAAACGACTGCTGAATGATGAGGCTGAAGCTAGCTGGCTGCGTCCACTGCTGCAAGGTCTTGCTCTAGCATGGCAGCGCTGACAAATATATCTTCAACACTATCTCTGACACCTCTTTTGCACACACAGAGGTGGTCTGGACAAATCCTAATCTGAAAACAACCAGGTCTCCATTCTGCTCTGAATATCAGCCCTCTGCTAACCGTAGCAGTAGAAGAAGGATGGAGGTTTTAAAATACTGTGCTGAAAACCACTTCCTCATTTCTCTGCCAGTTCTTCAGTTACAGCTTCCCTCTCTGCTGCTGCTGTCTTTGTGCTACAGCAATGGTAATATTGCGTGTCAGAAGCGGAAGCCCCTATGATGGGCCATAAATCAGGCATACAGAGGCCAACGGGAGTGATACCATAGCCGAGTGCACAGGGGTAAAGTAACTGTGCACAGCTCTTGCTGTGCTTTTAGAGGTAAATATTTATTTTGGGATGAATTAGAATGCTTTAAAGAAGTTCTCAGTTCATGATAAGGGCTGTGCTGAGTTCCAGGCTCCATGCTGCTTCTCGACTCTAGCTAACTAGAAGTTCAAATTAATTTAGGCTGAGGGTCAGCAGTCACAATTTCTACTGAAGATGTTCAAGTATAGGAGACACTGGGAAAAGCAGCTGAGAACCAGTTTCACACCCAAATTAAGTCTATGTGCATATACCCTGCCAGATAGCTGGAAAGATGATTTGGAGGAAATGGGACTTATGAGACTGTAACATCTTTGCATCCAGCTGTCTCTCTGCT